TCCGAGAGCCACACTTTAACTCATGAGCTGCAGTTTGGCGACCGCTGGCCTATACTCATAAACAGCATGAGGCTGACGTGTACAGTCACTGTGATACACAGGAAATAGGGCTGTAAGAATATACATAGAAATAGGTTTTTCCGGGCCAGATCTTGGATACTACGTTGAGGCAGATCCAGGTTAAATTCTTGTTTTGTTTTGCTCACCTTTTGGGTTGATGAAGCTCTTTGACTAAAGCCAGGCCTAATCTAGATGGAAGCTTTCTGAGAGACGAACTGGTTGCAGGTTTGTACATACCCGGGTTTCTGATGGCTTTGGTTGTGGGCCAGATGAAAGCAGGGACACAACAAAATGTGCATTGTATGAAGAGGTTCCTATTGAGGGATAACTCTGCCAGCGATGTCCCACTTGACTGAGCTATGTAAGCTTCTGAAGACTCTTGCATAAGCTGTTCCCTAGCTTGTTCATCATGGAAGCCAGATAACATGAGGCATCCCCACCTGCTCCCAGCCAGAGCCATACACGCTGTGCTGGAGCATCCGCCTGTCTTGGTGCCTTAGCCTGATTGTTCGGGCTGTGGTGGACAACAATTTTTAATCCCTCTTTTCACACTGCTCCGTACAGCAGGAGGCGGAACATATGGTTTGTGTCCCCCCCCCTCCCCCAGGACTCACAAACTGCTCTGTCCTCGCAGCTGCTCAGGGTTACTCTCCTATGCATCCAGGTCAGAGCGGTATGTGGGGATGATAGCTATAGTACGGTACAAAGGGGAGGGCCACATGGTGCCTGTCCCTCATGTGGGAATGCAGAGGGGAGGGCACAAAAACCCTCGCACCCCACAGAAGAGCCACAGGCAGTTATAAACTGAGAGCTCACAAACTCTTCTGCGCACTGCTCCAGTGAGTGTGGCAAGGAGTCCCCCCAGACACCAGCCTCTCTCAAGCACAACCTCTCCCTGAGTTCCCCTAGGGCAGTGCAGCTCCACACCAGGGGTCCTACAGGGTGTGGCTAACTGGCACAATCTAGCTCATAATAATAGGCTGAAAACTCCTCTGGGCAGAGACTGTGGGGAGCAGCCCATCTATTCCCAGCACAGTGTGCAAGGTGCGGTAGGCAGATCTTTGGTCCACCAGGCACAGCTCAGCTGCAATTGACGATTGAGCCCAGGGTCTCACATGTCTGAACAATGCTTGACGAAAGCAATAAGGTCCCTTTGTACTTTTTGCAGCTACTCATCATCATAACATTCTCTCCTGGGACACTCGATGTCTTCCTGGTCCATTAAATCTCCATCGCATTGTCTGTTGATTGTCCTACAATGCTCCTTTCTCTGGGCCTGATCCTGCCCCTACTGAAATCAACAGGAGGTGTGCCACTGACTTCAGTGGGAGCAGGACCCCATTCTCGCACCTTCTTTCCTTCCACGCTACTTCCCCCCATCTCTTACAATAGCCGCCACTCTAATGCTGGACACCATCTGCTGAGTTTCAGTTTGTCTCATCTCACCAACTGTCACTCCTCTTGATCCTGGGCGTAATGCACTAACATTTTACATCAAAGGCCCCTAAAATATTAGCATTTGTAGACTAGCTGGGCTGGAGGAAAGGAGCCAAACAGTTGGCACTTAGTAAGCAACGAGCATTAATAAAAGCATTCGAGTGAGTTTAGTGCCTCATTAAAGTAATACTAACGAACTGCCTGTCTTCCAGAAGCATGAACTTTTAATTTGATGTAAGGGTTAATCTTTCCAATGAGGCAATATTAAGTTTTCTGGGCAATTTCATTGCGTGTAGGACCAATTCTGCAGTGGAGTTACTCTGGAATACACTGGTGTTACTGAGAGTAAAATGTGGCTTACAGCTTGCAATACCATAATACAAATGGCGCAGAAAATATCTACAGCCATATGTCATTATAACGGTAACGCGTTCAGCGCACTGTTTTCTAAACACCGGGCCCAGTTCGGATCTCACAACAAAGTAAAAGTGGCATCTTGAATAGTGTCTATTGTTAACTTCAGAACAGTCAGTCCTGATTTACACAGATTTAAATGAGAGCAAGATCAGATCCAACATTTTTAGATCCGCTACCAGTGTATTTATGATGGGTTGAACCCCGACTCTGGACCCAAGTGTCCTTAAATCCGGAGTGTTCAAACTCCAGCTCTTAATCCAGTTATCTCCAGCTAGCACATGGCCCCTGCCAGAGCCAGCCAGCATCAACTAGTGCAGCATCTAGGATGTTCTAACTGGGGCCAGGGCTACCATAGATCTGACCCCAGGATCAGCAAGCTTCTACCAGCTCCATTCATTGCAGTTCCCTTTTCAGCTGTGCCGGAAGGAGGTGCAGCCGGGAATCTGGGCCTGGAGTTTAATTGTAAAGATAGGCTGAAATAAAAGAAACTAAATCTCATGTTTCGCTGCTTAGGCTCATCACCTATAAGTTCAGGAAGGAAGAATTCCGATGTTCCTTTTGTGCTTGATCCAAAGCCCATTTCAATCAATGGACTCTCGTTGATGTCAGTCGTCTTAGGATCATGTGGCCTGGATAGTATTTAAGCATCGTCCAGGTGCATGATGGGTTGGTTTAGGTGCTATTTATTTATAGGTGTTTGCCTTCCTTTCAAACATAAGGCTGAGGTAATGCTGGAGGCAGGACACCTGATCCCAGGGACCTCTGCTTTAATTTGGTACTTCAGTTCAACAGGAAATTTATAATCCGCTAGGCCCAATCCTGCAGGGTGCAGAGGACTCTCAATGTGAGAGTACACAGCAGGCCTGGGTCCTGCAATACAGATTAATCTGCAGCTACACAACAGGTAGATGTAACCGTTTAAACGGTCATCAGTTAAATTGCTCAATTTCTATTAAAAAAATATCTTGACTCTGTTCCTGGGCAAATATGCAGCGTGGTTCCTCATTGTCACCAGTATTACCTTTGTTTATCGAATGTAAATGTCAAACGCATAACAGACAAGGTGCACAAAGAGCAAATCTCTTTATAGCGATGACTTATGGTTGGGCAAGCAGGCTGGGGCATGTCCATGAAGAGTGGGCTAGTGCTCTGTGTGTATTTGTTAATGCAGGGGAAATAAATGTGCCTGTCTGTTTAGAAAGAGCCAGAGTGTACTTAAAAACAAATAAATAAAAGGAACCAAACTTGATTGCAACATTTAGGAATGACATATTCTTGGCATGGAAACACAAAGCAACTGCCTCCCAGGTTTCGCTCTGACCTGCTTCACTCACATGTCATTTTACACCAGGGTACCTCTATTGACGCTGACGGAGCTACCCTGAGTCACACCTGTGCAAGGTCCCGATATTGCAAACCTTTATGCACGTGCTTCGCTTTACTACCAGAAGTCCCATTGTTGTCACAGTAGCAAAGCAAGGCATGTGTGTTTGCAGGGCTGAGACCTAAATGAGGCAAGTGGGGCTCCTAGTGCTCACAATGAAGGAAACATTTCACAAGGTGGGGACAGTTCGTAAATGGACCTGGACAAAATTTTTCAAAGGAAATATTTTTCATCAAAAAAGGCCTTTATTTAAAATCAGCGTTTTTACATTTTTTCAACAAAACTGGAAAATGAAAACATTTAGGGGTTGGGGAGGTTTTTTTGGAAGGGTATTTATCATTTTTTCCTCTCCCCCCCTCCCTTCTT